TGGGACTACAGGCGCCCGCCACAACGCCTGGCCATATTTTGGTTGCAGCCATCATTGTTGTTTGGCGGGCCCCAGCTGGGGATTCGAACCCGCTACCTTAGGTGTATGTGGCTGGCGCCTTAGCCGCTTGAGCCACAGGCGCCGAGCCCTGTTAGTGGATTTCTTGCTGGCAAATGTAATCAGATGTTTTCAATGTCTACCGATTGTCAGGGTAAAATGCCCGTCTTCTCTGTGTGTACAAGACTGTTTCATTTCAGCAAGTCTGTTTCAAGTTTTGCAAAATGTTTTCAGATCTTGGCATTGTAGAATCTGGAGTGTCAGCGCTAAAAGGACAGGAGAGTCCAACAGCATCACTTTATGGCGAGGGAAACAGGACACTCAGAGGCTACCTGTATGTCTGTCTGCACAACTGGGACTAGTGCTTAGTGTTCTTCTTGGTCAAACCAGTGACTTTCCCCTAAATCTCCTTTGGCAAGCAAGTCTGTGTCCCTTTGCTGTGTCTTTTCTGATGTGTCTCCTTGCCACTTCTCAGCGTGTGGGGAGGGGTACAGGGTGGGTGTCGGAGCACAGACTTCATAATCCTATAGACCAACAGTCCCCAACCTGTTTGGCACCAGGGTCTGGTTCGTGGAGGACAATTTTTCCATGGACAGGGTGGGGGTGAATGGTTTCAGGATGATTCAAGCACATTACATTCACTGTGTGCTTTATCATTAATTGTAATATGTAATGAAGTAATGATATAACTCACCATAATGCGACTTCTGTGCTAATGATAATCTGTATTGGCAGCTGCTAGCAACAGCCTCAGCTCCACGTCAGATCACCAGGCATTAGATTCTCGTAAGGGGCAAGCAACCTAGACCCCAGTTGTACAGTAGGGTTTGTGCTCCTACGAGACTCTAATGCTGCTGCTGATCTGGTAGGAGGTGGAGCTCGGGTGCTGACTGAGTGATGGGGAACGGCTGTAAGTACAGATGAAGGTTTGCTTGCCCACAGCTCACCTCCTGCTGTGTGGCCTGGTTCCTAACAAGCCACAGACTGGTGCAGGTCCACAGCCGGGTACTGCAGCTGTATGATCAAAACCTACGTACGGGCTCAGCCACAGGCAAAGGCCTTAACTTCTTTGAGCCTCACACATGACATGCGGGATGAGAAGACCCACTCCACAGGGCTGCCTGGCACCGTTTTCAGCTCAATAAATCACCGTGTGCTTTTACAGGATGCCAGTGTGGGCAGAAGTGAAGGCCCATTTCACTGACCCTCCAGCCCCTGAACCGGCCAGGGTAAGACCTGCTGGGCTGTGCTCAGCTCCCCTGGATGTAAATGGTATACGGCATGAGATGAATGTTGTAGGCTTTCCAGAATCAATTATCATGTGTGGTTATCAGAAGATTTTTATTCAATGTCTTGGTGTAAGGAAGCAGTGATACAAATAAACCCAGAATTGATATTTGCTTTGGGATAAATCGTATGGCGTGGGAGAGTGGGTTCCTTTCTGTATTGCTCTCTGCCCTAGACGACAGAAAGTACAGCTAGTCTCTGAGGGCACTGTCAGCTTATGTCTGGGAAGCCCGCGGGCCTGAGGGGCTCATACGGAATAGAGAAAGGCAGCTCTCGCTTTGTGGTTGTGAAAAGGCCTCTTCCTGTCTCCAAACCAGAGGGTTTATGTCACCCCTTCCTCTACATGGTGTGATCCTGATCCGGCAACCACAGCAGGGCCCCTGAGAAGGAGCGTGTGACAGGTGCCTGCTGACCACACACCCTCCTCACCCATGTCCGCCAGCTGCTTATTAGCTTAGTAGTAAACGCTACAGGTGGTCTGCGGTGGACAGGCCTGCTTTCTCTGGCACGTTGGCAAAGTAGCCAAGAGGACTTGGTCCATTCCCTTGTTTTGGAAAACTGCCACGAGGGATGGCCATTTCTTCAGGCTGGCCTCACGTCCATCCAGAGTGTCCACACAAGGCCATGTGGATACCTATCGCTTTATCAGGCCGAGGGTATCTGGAATCCTCACTCTATAATCTCAGCTGTTTGACCTTGGCCAGTGTCCAACCTGCCTCTCACCCATCTGGGAGGCGGACACCACGGCAAGCCCCGTCCCACTGGGTCCTTGTGAGGATCAGACAAGAAGGGACCGAGGGAACCAGTGCGTACCGGGAGCCCCGGGAATGGTAGGAAGCTCTCACAATTTTTCTGCTCAAGAATAGCACCTGTAACAAACGTCTCCTTTTTTGAGAACGTACTCTTTTCTACATTTTTTAAAACCCGAGAAAGAAAAGAAAATCCCCAATCTTAACAGAAGCCCAAGAAAGTACTTGGGATATCCACAGCGTGAGGCCCTTGCCCCAGCAAGCTGAATAACAACCACGGGGAGCCATGTGGATCTTTATCTCCAGCAGGTACAGAGCACATTTACGGGCACAGTCAACTCGTAGATGAAATAAATTTGCTTTTTTAAAAATCATCCCAGCGTGGCTCACCCCTGTCATCCCAGCACTCTGGGAAGCTGAGGTAGGGGGATCGCCTGAGCTCACAAGCTTGAGACCACCCTGAGCCAGAACAAGACCTTATCTCTAAAAAATAGCACTGTGGTGGGTACCTGTAGTCCCAGCTACTCTGGAGCTGAGGCGAGAGAATCACTTGAGCCCAAGAGTTTGGTTGCTGTGAGCTATGATGCCCTGGCACTATACTGAGGGTGACGAAGTGAGATACTGTCTCGAGAAAACCCCCAAACCAAAAAATCATCCCTACAGGCAAGTTTGAGGACCTTTCCTGGGCCACATCAGACTTGAAGGCAGAAAGTGACAAGCTCAGGCCCTTGGCTGCGCACCTGCTCAGCTGGGGACCCGCGCGCCCGCTGCTGGTCGGGATTCTTTACTGCGAGCTGAGCAGAGTTTGGACCTTCGTGATTCTGAGCGGGTGGGGTATGCGCTCCCTCTCCCCCACCACGGGGCTCCCATCCTCAGGGTCAGCCTGCGGTTCCTGATTTCACAGTGAGTTGAATGTCAAGGAAATTCGTTACAGGAATCCCAGGCAGCCTGTCCGTGCCCATCAGCGTGGGCATACAGAGAAAGAGGTAATTGGCTCGGCGCCTATAGCTCAACCGGCTAAGGCGCCAGCCACGTACACCTAAGGTGGCGGGTTCGAATCCCCAGCCCGGACCCGCCAAAACGACAATGATGGCTGCAACCAAAAAATAGCCGGGCGTTGTGGCGGGCGCCTGTGGTCCCAGCTACTTGGGAGGCGGAGGCAGGAGACTCGCTTGAGCCCAGGAGTTGGAGGTTGCTGTGAGCTGTAATGCCATGGCACTCTACCCAGGGGGACAGCTTGAGGCTCTGTCTCAAAAAAAAAAAAAAAAAAAAAAAAGAAAGAGGTAATTGATTCTTTTTTCTTTTCTTAGACAACGTACAGGGTGGTTGGGAAGATAAAATTACCAGCCTCTCTATAAATATTTAATCTATTTAAATCATATAAGATTATTCCAAAGCCAAAGGCATCATTTCTCTTTAGAATCAGGAAGATTTCCAGTGTGAAGAGTGTCTCGTGGAGATTGGAAATGTTGCACCTCTCTGGAGCAACCAGAATTAACTCCTTTTTAGAGGACACTGCTGGATAGGGTCAGGTTGGCACCTTCTTTTCTTGCCTCAATCTCATGTCACCTGCTGTGTCAGGGTGTCAGTCACTTGAGGTTGTGGGGAGGAGGAGTCCTCTTGCCAGGCTCTCTGCCACACCTGGTCCTTCTCAGGGGTTCACCAACCATCCCGAGTTAGCACCTCAGTTGCCCTCCGTTTCATTCTTTCTCCACGAAACCACGGCTTCTGATGTTGGCCACGTGTGGAACCAACATCAGTGTCCTAAGAGGCCCCTGAGGTCTGTTCAGAGGCAGCAGCAGTGGCTGGGCTAGGAGCTGAGTGCTGGCCTTACCCTGCCACGGCTCTGTTCCCATGGCTCAGTGTGACCAGACGGGCCGCCTCTTCTTCAGGAAGGCCCCAATTCCCTCCTGCCCATCCTCCAGGGCGAGGTTGTCCACCATGGTCTGGGAGGTGAGGCAGTAGGCGGTCTTCAGGTCCTGGGGCAGCTGCCTATAGAAGGCGGCCTTGCCCAGAGCCAGCACGGGCCGGCTGAGAGAGGCGATCTTGGTTGCTATCCTCCTGGTCTCCTCCTGCAGCTGTGCCTCGGGCACGACCCTGCTCACCAGCCCGTGCAACAGGGCCTCCTGGGCGGAGATGGGCTCCCCGGTAAACAGCATCTCCAGGGCCACCTGGGGGAGACACGGAGGTGACTGGGGTGAGCTCCTGGGAGCTGCCCTCTCCCTTCACTCTGACCACCCTGTTACTGCAACACACACCCCAAGGCTGTCCCCATTCCTGGCTAAATTTTAACCTTTGCCCTTCCCCCCATGGGACACATACTGCATATTTCAGGTGTTTTACTGTGTATCTCCTCTGCTTGCATGTAAACCCCAACAGGGCAGGTTTTTAAGCCTCAATCATTTCTGAGCCTCCAGCATTAGAAGGCTGTCTTGCACATAGTAAGCAGCCTACTAAATACAGTGGAACCTCTGTGAGCTGACCACGCAAGGGACTGTAACAAACTGGCCAACACAGGGAGGTGGTCAACGTAAGGAACTTCCATTGAGCACATGGAGTGCATGTCTGTGGGAATCAGGTCAACTTAAGGATGTGGTAAGTGTAGGGAGGTGGTCAGCTATGGGGGCTCTACTGTATTTACTAATGAATGAAGGAGAAAAATTAAAATATCCCAACTGAATCACTCTGGGAGAATGTGGAATTCAAACCCCCGGCAATAGGGGACAGGGAAGATCCTTGTGTGTCACGGGGAGAAGGTTCTGGTTATAGGCAGGGGTAAGAATTAAGCAGTGTCTTGACTTCACTTCTACACAAAAGATCCTTCTATTATTGGTGGGTCTCTAAAAGTAAACAAAAAGGAGATGAACTTGAGCTAGAACATGAGGGATTTTAATTCCACGGAAAAGCTATTTCTCCCTTCAATCTCGCAGTCAGGGCAGGACAGGCTGCCAGACGTCCAGCCAGAGACGTTCAGAGAGAGACAAAGACAGTGGCTGTCAGCAGAGCCCCACTAGAATATGAGTGCTGTGCCTGGCACATTCAGGCATCCAACAGCGGGCAGGCGCCATTTCTTCCTCTCCTCTTACCTGCAGCCTCGTGGCTATAAAGACAGCAAGTTCTGACACCATCTTGTGTAAAATCGTTTTAAAAGATGAAAGAGGTTGGTTGCAGTGGTATTCCTCTCACTCTGGGAAGCTGAGGCAGGAGGATACCTTGCGCTCAGGAGTTCAAGAGCAGCCTAAGCAAGAGGAAGACCCCGTCTCTACTAAAAATAGAAAAAGTAGCCAGGCGTTGTGGCAGGTGCCTGTACTTCCAGCTACTCGGGAGGCTGAAGCAGGAGGATGACTTGAGCCCAGGAGTTTGAGGTTGCTCTGAGCTAAGTTGATGCCATAGCCATCTAGCCTGGGTGGCAGAGTAAGACTCTGTCTCAAAAAAAAAACAAACAAAAAAAGAAAAGAAAACATCAATGTGGAACATTCTATGGGCAGCCTTGCCAAACACAGGATAAAGGGATCATGTCTTTTGGCCAAGTCCCTTCTTCTGTAGGTTCATTATCCCTTACTTTGGGGGCACACTTTTATCATCATTTGCACAGGACTCACTCATGATAAAGATGCTAATCGCTACATAGTGGAGGCTTTATGTGCCCTGCCTGTCCTTTCCTACTTGATGTAAAGTGACAGAGACCACCTTGAAGGGAGGGGAGTGACCCACAGGCCTCTCTGTCATGCCTGGAGTCTCCGGTGGGGATGACATTGCCCTTGGGCTTTGGCAACTGGCCCTGGTGGGCTCTGCAGGGTCACCAGCCTAGAATCGGGCAGTTGGCTGTGATTTCTGGGGTCTCTCCTCAAACCTGTGCAGCCCCACAGAGATGTGGGGCCTCCGGGATATGTCCCCGGAATCTCAGCTTTTGAAAGCAGAATAGTCAAGGGGAAGAGTGAAGCTCCCTTCAGGTTGGGGGGGGGGGCAGCTGAGTGTCCCCTTGAACTAACTGCTGCGTCTAGATGGACAGGAAGCAGGAGGCACGGGCTGGGGCGCTACAGTTAAGGCCGAGCCAGAGCACTGAGCTGGGCCACTGGAGGACACCGCTGTGCCAGCCTCCCCTCCAGTTTGGAGAGGACACTCAGGCTGCCTGGGGGACATTCAGCATGTGTGACGCAGCTCCTGCCAGCATGGCTCCTCCCCCATCCACCCGGGGGCTACAGGTGAGGGGCAAGGAGATTTGAATGGGATTAACACTCATAAAAGGAAGACTGGCCTGGACTGAGTCCCTGGCCCTGCCTGTGGCTTCCTGAGTCATGCCCGACGTATCTATCTATCCCCCGCTCTGGGCCTCAGTTTCCTCATCTGCCCTGGGGGGGATGATACTATTTAGCAGCACACTGGTTCACAGGGATTTGGCCCAGACAGATAAGAGTGGAATTCCCTAAGGGAAATGTCCTGTTGACTTTATGGCTCATCAGTTCAGTTCTCACTTAGCATTTAAGTTTCCTCACAGTGTGCCCCCTGAACTTCAGAATCAAGAGAAGAAAACCCCCACACTTCTCCCCAATCACCCCATGCTGCCTTTCAGCCTTGTGCCCTGTGAGTCCCCCATTAGAAGCTGGTGATTTAATTCCGAGGGGTGTCTGCATTAAAATTAACAAAAAGGACATTGGGCCACGGATAAACCCTCAAGGAGTGTGAGCGGGGTAGGAAGAACATGGTTTGGAATAGCAGGTGTCTAAGCTCCAACCCCAGGCCTGCGGCCTACTAAGCACAACACCTTCAGGGCCGTTTCCTCATCTGGAAACCAGGAGAGAGCACTCCACCCTCTCGCTGCGGTGCCCGTCATCCTGCGTCGCTGTTGTGAACATGCCCATTCCAATGGCAGATTCCTGGGAAGGGCTAAGGCTGAATTTAGGTGTTACAGCCCCTGAAAGGGCGTTCATTTAATGCAGAGGGATCTTCTGGGTCCCTGTGAGTCACACACGTGACAAGAACCGTGTGCTAAAGTCTACAGGAGACTGTCTCCCCACCCTGGGCCCTTTCAGATGGGCATTGGGTCATCTTCCCTTCAGGCTGTATACAAAATACCACAGCCTTATAAACAGACATGTCTCATAGTCCTGGAGGCCAGGATGCCCAGGATAAAGGTAGCCCTTGTCTGAGGGGGACCCAAGCGGCTTCCTGCTCTGTCCTCACTCAGGGAGAAAAGGCCAAGGCAGCTCTCTGGGGTCCATCCCTTCTTTAATGACACTAATTCCCTTCATGGGGGCTCCATCCTCATGCCCTAAGCATCTCCCAATGTCCTCACCCTAATACCATCACCATGGGGGTGAGGATTCAGCAAAAACTTGGGGGCATGCACACATCCAGACTGACGCTTGGCCTCTGTCTCCCAGGGATCACGGGCATCCCAGCTGCAGAGCTGAAGCAAAGAGGCAGGGAGAGGGTCGGGTGCGGGGACCTGCGAGCTGTTTGTCACACACACGTGGGCACACTCACACCTCGGAGCTGGCAAGGGCTGAGCAGGATGCCAGTGCCCAGCTGACAGAAACCCTCTCAGGCCCTCTTGTAAACTGGGGTGCTGAACCGTGCGCTCTCTAAGGCTGCCTTTCTCAGACTCTGGCCACGCAAATCACAAAAGGTGCTCTGTGTGGGGCTGGCCTGAGGGGTCTGCAAAGCAGGGCGTTAGGACCCTCCGGTTTGGAAACCCTTCTCTGTCCTCATCAGACTCCTGGAAATGAGATTATACAGACACACAAAGCTTCAACAGGCAAACAGGGAAGCCGGGCTTCCTGCCCCAGAAGATGCCTGGTTTGGGAAGAAGGGGCTCTGATTTTTCTCATGCTGTCGGCTAAGGCCTGGGGGAAGTGCTTCTAGGACAAGGCCAGCCCTGGGGAGGGGAGCAGCTGCATCAGGCAGTGTGCTCAAGTGATGGGAGACGATGCATTAGGTAAAAGGAGAGGGGCCTTTACAGATGGGGGAATTATCCATGCCCCGGCTGAGTCTGGCTCCCAGTGGACAGCCCCGCCTTCCGTCTCTGGCACAGCTGGGAAGGTAGGTGCCTGTCATAACCGGCAGAGGGCACTGTTGACCCACCATGCTGTTTTAGCCTGTGTGAAAAGGGCTGACACGCTTATCCTGGCCAGTTTGCAGAAGCACCTGCTGGCATCTCTGTGACACGCGTGCTCCTGAAGCTCAGGAGACAGGCAGGTGTTTTTGGTCCAGTTTAGATTTTTATGGATCCCAATTTTTCCTTCTAAAAATAAGATCTGACACAGGTCAGATCTGCAAATCCAGAAAACCCAGCGAAGGCCTTGAGGTCTGGCAGACTTTTCCTCCTACAAAAGTCTCTTTATTAGGACTTGGGTTTCTGCTCATCGGTGCGGACCCCAATCATATCCCCAAGTGGCCCAGCATTAATGAGCCCCAAGTGGAAAGGCACGTACTGAGGGGACCCTGAACCCCTTTCAGACGGCTGATTAGAAGAAGATCCTAAAGTCTCAAGTTGAGTGACTTAGGGGCCTTCTGGGGATCAGGACACGAGGGACACAGAGCAAGATAATCCTTGAGATTCTCTGTCCTGTCTTCTGAGACAGCCAACACTGTCTCTGGGAGGTAAAAGCTACGTTGTTCCTTACAACGTCCCTGCCCTTCGATCTTTGTCACTGGACAATTATGCAGTGTGGCTCTGAGGACTGGGCTTCCTTGGAACTTTAGGCCTGTTTTTGTCACATTTCTCCCTCTTCTCAAAAAACAATTTAAAATTTGATAAATGTGATAAAACTGTTAAGCTTCTAGGAGTCCATTCTAATAAGCGTTGGTTTCAAAACTTTGTCTTGAGAAAGAAGGGATTCTTATCCTGACCGTAGGGCTGATTTACAGGTTTTAAATGCCTGACGGTAGAACCTTCCAGCATGTCGGGTGTTGAGAGGATGAACAGGCACCAGGACGGCTAAGCAGTGCAGCCACCTTCGCTACACAGAGGCCTCATGATTTAATTCACACAGTTATTAGTTTATGAGCAAGTTCTGAAAATAGATTTGCAAAAAAATTTTTTTTGAGACAGTCTCTGTCACTCTAAGTACAGTGGGGTGGTGTCATTTTAGCTGACAGCAACCTCAAATTCCTAAGTTCAAGCCATCCTCCTGCCTTAGCCTCCCAAGTAGCTGGGACTCTAGGCACTTACCACAATGACCAGCTAGTTTTTCTATTTTAGTAGAGATGGGGTCTCACCCTCCCTCAGGCTGGTCTCAAACTCCTGAGCTCAAGTGGTCCATCCACCTCAGCCTTCCACAGTGCCAGGATTACAGGCGTGAGCCACCATGCCCAGCCTGCAACACATTTTCATTGAATGTACTTCCACAAAGGAGGGGTTTAAGAAATATTTACTAAATGAATATCTACACTTTTGTTTATTTATTTTTAGCGTCACATTCTCATTCTGCCACCCAGGCTGGAGGGCAGTGGCACATATACAGCTCACTGCAACCTCAAATGCGTAGGCTCGAGTGATCTTCCCACCTAAGCCCCGCTAAGGGCTGGGATTACCAGTGTGAGCCTCTGTGCCCAGCCAAATATCTATCATTTCAGTCTGAGACATTTTAGCAAGCCCACTCCAACCAATTTTCCTGGGCATGCAAGCTTGCAGGTGTCTTTGGAATTTCCTCACATTGCAGACATCCCAGAAAAGCCGGCATTTCTGCAGGCACCAAGCAGGAGGCAGCGGGAGATAGGGGTGCAGCCCTGAACCTCCTGGCCTCATTGCAGGGGTCTCCTTGGGTCTCATTGCTTTTGTGCTCTGGGCATGTGAAGAACTGCTATTTTTCATAGTTGATGCTAAAATAAACAATATATTCTTTTTTTATTTTGAGACAGTCTTAGTCACCCTGGGTAGAGTCCCAGGGCGTCATAGCTCACAGCAACTTTAAACCCTGGGGCTCAAGTGATCCTCTTATCTCAGCCTCCTAAGTAGCTAGGACTATAGGCACCCACCATATCATCTAGCTAGTTTTTCTATTTTTAGTAGAGACGAGGGTCTCAACTTTGCTCAGGCTGGTCTTGAATTCCTGAGCTGAGGCAATCCACCTGCCTTGGCCGGGGATTACAGGCGTGAGCCACCTCGCCTGGCCAGTACATTCTTGAAAGCAGTTTAGGTTTCCTGCTTGGTATGGTATATGACTCTGCCCGCCTTTTGTATAGATTTCTGAATGAGAATGTACTTTTTTCTCGAACAAGAACATTGTTGGTTTACACTTAAGGGATATTCCATAAATATTACTTTACGATGTCATAGAAAGGATGAAAGTTTTGTGAAATAGACTTCACTATGTCAGCAATGACAAAACCACTTTGCAACGTGGCTCCTTCTTGGGCAGATCCAACATCCCGTGCGTGGGATAGTCATGGTCCTGAAATGTGACTGTGTGTGCACCCACCAGACTCAGTAAGTTCTGTCTGGAATAAGACAGACGGTTGATGAACAGCGAGTCCGTAGCCTGCTATCCCAGCCTCTAGACACGGGCATGGCGTCAGCAAGCTGTTCAATCTCATGGTTCAACTGTTGGGTGTAACCAAACTGATTCTCAACTACACTTCATATCAGATGACCAAAACATGTACCTTTAGGAAAACAATTTCCAAAACCTAAGTGGTCGTACGTGGTGACTTCACAAACTTAACGCCCAGCTTGAGAAGCTGCAGAGGGACAGGCAGGCAGCTGGCCCTGCCCTCCCCAGCATTACAAGGAAGATGGTGGCTCATCCGACCTGATATGCGGTTGGCAGCATGTCCTCATGTGGGTGGCATCTTAAACAAGCTAGTTCTGGAAATTCACACAAACCTGCGGGCGAGCTCCAGAGGAGGGCTGGGGACAAGGTGGATTACCTTTCTGGGCACCGCTCGCCCCAAGGCCACCCCGGGGGTGGAACAGAACAGCCCGACGTTCACCCCAGGAGTCGCGAAGGAGGCCTTGTCGCTGGCCACGGCAATGTCGCAGCTGGCCACCAGCTGACAGCCGGCAGCTGTGGCCAAGCCGTTGACCATGGCGATGACAGGCACGGGGTGGTTCTGGATCAGCATCATGACCTGTGAAGGCAGACACATGCATTTCACTCCCACGCAGACGGGAACCACACCGGCGCTAGCCTCAGAGCTGGGACAGTCGTGTTTCCAGAGCACTTTTTGTATGAGCTGGTACATGAAGTTCTATGGAAAAGGCACAGAAGCACCAACCTGTATGAAGTATCTGCCCTGAACCAGACTGTATAATCTGGGCTTCCTAGGAACCCCGTTTTGCGACAAAGTCACTAAGCTCTGAGCAGGACGTCACCCACCTGAGGCCACCTGACAGGAAAAAGGGAAATGGGGCAGGTGCCAGGTCTGTGGCCCCAAGACTAGCCCTGTGAGGTGGCGGCCCAGCCCTAGCCCTGCACACCGGCTGCCTCCCAGCAACCCCCCTAAAGAACTGCGGATTTTTATCTCCAAGGACAAACAAAGGGCTCCCGGACAGTGCAGCTCTCACCCTGCCTGTGTGCGGCTCTTGTGTTAAAATGTCTGAAGCGGGTATTTGGTGTTTCCTTGAAACATTAAGGTGGAAAAGGGACTTGAAGGCAACGTCCTCAGTCGTTACTACGCAAATTAACACCGAGAATATTCTCTCTCAATCCCATTAAAATGGGGGTAGAGGGCCAGCCCTGCTGTCATCAAAATAAACAAAATTCCTAAAACAAAGAGGAGAGACAGAACGTGCTCGTGTGACCCCAGCCCCTGGTACAAATCTCCTCAACTTTTACTTTTGCAGCTTATTTTTTTCCTGACACTCTAAACAGATTGTGTTGCTATGGTAACTTCAGTTTTTAAATTGTTGCTCTTTGAACCTTCGCAGGGAGGGAGGGAAGGAGGGGGGCGCACAGGAACTAAATCTGGCTTCTTTCCCCAAGGCAGCTATTCAAAGAAAAACGACCTTCACTGATTTAAAGATTCTGCCTAAGAAACTTACCTTGTACGTTCATAAACATTTGCTATTTGGTAGCTTTAGTCTAAAATAACTAGTTATATATTGAAGCCGGTGGTGTCTTATTCTACAGTAGGGGTTTTAACTTTTGGAGGGGAGGGATCACCTTTTGAGAATCTGATAAATGCTAATGACCCTCTCCCCTGCAGACACCTGTAGGCAAAACTGTTCATGGCTTTGGGGGATTCGTGCATCATAAGGTTGGGGACACGCTCATGATTGAACTGGTTCCCAGTGAAATGGAATAACAAGAGGAGGAACTTACAAGAATGTCTAAAGTCTTGCAACAAAGAAAAGATTTTTAGACCTGAGTGTCCTTCTATCCCTCGGTGAAGTTACTTATGAAAAGCCAGCTGATGGGGATTAGAGTTGAACAGTCTATGCTCCCTGCCTGCCATCTCTGAATGGATTTCATAAAATCTCGTAGAAAAATGCTTAGGTCATGTAGTGTGTATATTCAGTAATGTTGAAAATGCTTACACCTTTGATCTAGAAATTCTACTTCTAGGAGATAATGTGAAAGCTCTATGATCAAAGATATGCACCAAATCATTGTTTTATAACAGTAAAAGACTCTAAGTATGAAAAATGAATAAATTGCAATGTCAACTAAACTGGATACTCTGAATAGAATACTCTGGCATTCTCGAGCTTATGCTGTGCTCTGGAGCCAGGCTGTTGGGGGCCGATGCCCAGGCTGTCCCTTACTGACCGCCTAGCCCTGGACAGTCACTTAGTCCCTCTGTTTTCATATCTATAAAATGTGTATGATAAGATCACCAACCTTAAAGAACATGACAATTAAACATATAAATGTGCCTAACGTGCTTAAAATACATCTGATACATAGTAACCATTCTGTGCCATAATCATATTACACATTACACACTATAATCACACCTGTATGTGGCTATTTAAATATGTTCACATGAAAAAATCATTTAAGGGAGGCACCTGTAATTCAGTGGGTAGGGCGCCGGCCACATACACTGAGGCTGGTGGGTTCAAACCCGGCCTGGGCCAGCTAAAACAACGATGACAACCGCAACAACAACAAAAATAGTCAGGCATTGTGGCAGACGCCTATAGTCCCAGCTACTTGGGAGGCTGAGGCAAGAAAATTGCTTATGCTCAAGAATTTGAGGCTGCTGTGACCTGTGAGGCCACGGCACTCTACCCAGGGCAACAGCTTGACTATGTCTCAAAAAAAAAAAAAAAAAAAAGAGAGAGAGAGAGAAAATCATTTAAAATGATAACTCTGACTTAGGCGTTCTAGAAAAAAAAAAAGAAATATAGTAAAATGTTAAGTTCTTTTTCAGTGTTACAAATATGGTATAGCATCTGTAATCTATTTTTCTTCCTTTATGCTTCTAGATTTTTAAAATTATTATTATTTTTTTTTAGGGGAAAGTGCAAACGCAGTCCCCCACTACCACAAATTATGCAGTTGAGTTTCCCACATTTGGGGAAATCGCAGGGGTCAGCACATCCGGAGTGCAGTGGATAAGCCTGGCCCTGAGAAAACCACCTTCGTCACCATGGTATCTCCCCTGCCAGGTAAGTATTAAAAATTACTTTTGTTGTTGTTGTTGCAGTTTGGCTGGGGCTGGGTTTGAACCCACCACCCTTGGTATATGGGGCCAGCACTCTACTACCCACTGAGCCACAGGTGCTGCCCAATTTTAAAATTTTTTAGTAGCAAGGACTTATTACTTTCATAATGGAAAACATTTAAAAAAAACTAGAGAGTGGCTCAGAAAAGACAAAGGGAACCTGCATAATGAATAAGCTCAGACAGTCAAAAGCTAGAGTCAAGAATTGGTTTGACTTCCTATTTGCTCTTCTGGAATTGTACTAAATTTGGTTCTGCCTACCCCAAAACGTGACGTAAATTTAACTCTGCCCTTGTCTCCTTTAAGAGCATCACTGAGGATTCCAAGTTATTTCCCAAAGCCAGAGACCTGGCTGATTGTCATTTTGGGGTATAAGAAGTGAGAAGAATCCCCCCTGGGCTTGAGTGTGCATCTCCAAATTTCAACAGGATGTTAGAACAGAGACAAGGGCAGGTCTCTAGCATAAGCCACCAAACCTGCCCCACAGAAGGTCACTCACTCTCCCAGGACCAACTTCTTCCCATTCTCATTCTTCTCCTCCTCAATGTGCCCTCCTCCCGATCTGTAAGTAATTAACTATCGTGCGGTAGCCCTGGCCTGTTACAGATTTGCTAGCGTTTGTAGCTGCGGTGCTAACTCAGGTATCTCTACCTTCCTTTTAAAAAACCCGATTTTCTCATGCCTGAGCTGAGCAGTGAACTCTGTAGCTCATTCTGTTCCGATCTGCCTGTGGATTACACTTGGAAATTGAAGTCTTGCACGAGTCCGTGTTGCTCAGACTTATCCAAGACAATCAGTCCACTTTCACACCTGTCTTTCTTTTTGAGGGCGACAGCCTGTTCATGAAGCAAGTCTTTTTCGAGGTCAAGGTCAAGGTGCTTCCAAGGAATCTGGCCTTTATCTCCTGAAGAAGCCCTGGCTCCCCTGTGGCCCTCTGCTAACCTGTTCAGATCTCAGTTCATGAGGTTACCGCAACAGAAAGATAAAAGCAGACCCTTGAGGGGGGACAGAAAGGTTCTACTGGTTTTCTCTGATGCTTGTCTTTAGCCAAACATAACGCATATTAGGAAAAAACTTTCAAAGCACCAAGCCGCAGCAAACCCAAGAGCAGAATGTTCCATAAACACCATTAGTGCAGGAAACAAAGACCTGAGTCTCACTCTAGCTTGCTTCCGCCTCCACAAGAAGCGGCCGGTGAATCTCTTTCCTGTTTGTCTTTCCATGAAATGGGAAGAAATAAACCCTGATCTCTTTATGGGTTTCTGGAAGGACAAAGAAAACAAATGACGCTCAAGAACCCATCATCTTCATCTCTTCCCTCTCACCTCCCTGTTGCTCCCCTGTCCTGTCCGCATAGCAGGGATTATTCAATATGTGTCCAATCGTTAGTGACCAAGTGAACGAGTGAGTCAGTGAATGAATGAACGAAAAATTAAGTAAGTTTAGGGTCGGGTTACAAAACTGTTGTATACATATAGTTTCTTTACTTTGTTTGACAGGAATTTTTTTTTCCTGTTCTATTTTACTCAAAACCTTGCAAGTACCTGCGTGATGCTATTGTGGGCGCTCGATACTCTTGGAGTGAACAGTGTGTTGGCTTCTATATCCAACTCTTTCCTATGCAGGCTTTATTTAATGCTTTTATAAACCATCTAAGAACTCTTTTTCCTCTGTGGCTGTTGGCAATTTTCCTCCTTAACATGGTAAAACAAGCAGAAAAGAAGCAACAAGGAAGAGGTTACTTCTCCTCCTTGGAGGTGGTGATTATAAAGGTCGGTTGAAAGAAAGATTTGAAAATAATTTCCAAAACCGTTGTTGTTGTTCCACTTCGGGACGCTTTCTTTCCAACTTAATAGAGTTGTTTTAGTTTAACAGTTTGTAAAATTAGCATAATCCTAGCTTCTTCCCCTTCAAAGATATGCATTTTCACCTTTCACCTCTTACTTAAAACTTGTATACCAAGGCACACCCCTACGATGCTGGAGATGGTACCTATGGGTAACATCATATATTCTACAAAACAAAATCAATACCAAATTATGGTCACTTCTTAAAAAGTCTAAACCAAATAGCTGTTTGGATGAAGGATTCAGTGACCCCAGGGTTTTCAGTCTCTCTCTGGTGGTCAGGTCTCAAAGACAAAATCCTATCCGTAAACCTGAAGGTTAATGCAACATTTCATGTCATCATTTTCACGTTTGCAACATTGACCATCATCCTGGCTTACCTCGGAACAGGTCTGAAACACTTCAGCATGATAACCTTGGCCTTGCTCACTGGTCAGTTCCTTTAAATCATGTCCGGAAGAAAAAACAGGCCCCTCAGCTGCGAATGTTTCCAATTGCGAAAAGAAAAGAGAAAGATATAAACAGCCAGAGGTGGGCAATCTACTTGTCTACTGGCCTGTCTACTGAATAACTGCAGCAAACTTTCACTTAGAGAAAACGGATGGCTCGATTTTGGAACGAATAGCTCTGGTTCCCTTGAAAAGTTACAGCCAGAATTTTGTGATGAAAAATGCAAGGTGAGGCATCTGTATCCTGATGTCCAGAACAGAAACTGATAAAAATATGCAGTTATACAAGAAGGCTTAGCAACCAACGTGAAGGTTATTTATTTGTTTTATTTATTTTGAGACAGAGCCTCAAGCTGTTGCCCTGGGTAGAGTGCTGTGGCATCACAGCTCACAGCAACCTCCAATTCCTGGGCTCAAGCGATTCTCCTGCCTCTGCCTCCCAAGTAGGTGGGACTACAGGTGCCTGCCACAACACCCAGCTACTTTTTGGTTGCAGCCGTCATTGTTTGGTGGGTCCAGGCTGGATTCGAACACACCAGCTCAGGTGTATGTGGCTGGCGCCTTAGCCACTTGAGCCACAGGCGCTGACCCTGAAGGTTATTTTTTACAGAGCTTTTGTGACTTGGTCTTGCCTGAGCGTATCGACTCATGCCGTCTCAGGCCATAGGCAGTCACCCTGTCATTTAGCTTAGGGTGGTGGCCAGCGACAGGGGTTGAACCGGGAAGGTCAGAGTGAGAAGGGACCTCAGCTGCCCTCTGGTCTGAGCTCCTTATTTTACACATGAGGGATTCAGGGATGTGGCAGCTGTCATTTTGTCTTTAGCATCGGCAACAAAATGTCATTCCACTCATGAACGGATAACACTTTCTCCTATTTCCCTGTGGCTGTGGTTATGGAGACAGGCAACAGTATTCTCTTTTTACAAGTGAGGAAATTAAGAAGCTGCTGCCTTTACTGCATGTAGGTAACACCTCGCATGGCAGCCGGACTCTACGAACTCAAATTTGTTTTACCTTCAGCATACACAACGGCTACACATTTTAGTTAACAATTGAAAAGATAAGCTGAGTATGCAAAACAAAGCATCATTCATTATATTTTTCTGCTAAGAACAGGAAGGACAAACCAATCAAATGTCCCCACAGGTCCTGGCTGACTAGCTAATCTGACTCGTTAATCACTAAGGGTTAGTGATTAAACTCATTTCATAAGGTCCACAAGGAAACTGATTCTCTGATTTTTTTTTTTTTTTTGAGACAGAGCCTCAAGCTGAGCCCCTGGGTAAAGTGCTGTGGCATCACAGCTCACAGCAACCTCCAACTCCTGGGCTCAAGTGAGTCTCCTGCCTCCGCCTCCCAAGTAGCTGGGACTACAGGTGCCTGCCACAACGCCCCGCTATTTTTTTGGTTGCAGCCGTCATTGTTGTTTGGTGGGCCCGGGCTAGATTTGAACCCGCCACCTTAGGTGTATGTGGCTGGGGACTTAGCCACTCGAGCCACAGGTGCCAAGTCGTTTTTTTTTTTTTCCTTTAGTTTGAGACAGAGTCTCACTCTGTTGCCCTGAGTAGGGTGCCATGGCATCATAGCTCACAGCACCCTCAAACCCTTGGGCTCAAGTGATCCTCCTGCCTCGGCCTCCCGAGTAGCTAGGACTAGAGGCACCTGCCATAACACCTGGCCAATTTTTCTATTTTTGGTAGAAACCAGGTCTTGCTGTTGCTCAAGTTAGTCTTGAACTCCTGAGCTCACGGGATCACCGACCTCAGCCTCCAGAGTGCTAGGATTACAGGGCTGAGCCACCACCCCCAGCCTTGTATGGTATTTTCACTAAACAGCTGTCCTTCCTATAATTTCCTCAGGTTAATAGGCGTTAGGACCAAGTCCTTAATTACACAAGAGTTTTCCATAATTAATGTAAAGGATCTTCAAAACAATTCTCTAGCTAAGTGAGGAAACGCCTGGCTAACCACAGACTTGTTGAGACTCTCCTGAGCACAGCAGGACACTAAGGACGGGTATCAATTTATACCTGAGATTACAATCACTTTCAGATCTTTGCTTTCAGCTTCATGAAGAATGTCCTTCTGCAGAGACTTGAGCATTGCAAGTGACAAGGCATTCCTCTTCCTCGGATTACTCAAGACAATGTCCCTGTGAAGAACATTGTATAATCAGTGGGTCACGCACTAGTCAGCACAAGTGAGGACCCTTGCAATTCTTCTCTAATTTGGGAGCTATTTTTAAAACCCAAGGAAAGAGAACTGTGGGTGCTTAGTGCCAGTGGAGGGGGTCTGTTGGCTCTCCAGAGTTACAGCTAAGTCAAAACAAAAAAAAAGATGCCCTGCAATGCAGTCTGGTCTTTTTTTTTTTTTTTAATCTCTCTTCCCTTGATTTGTTTCTCCTTTTCTCCACGTTTGCTGTCAGAATCACGACTGCCACCTCCACAGAAAGGGCAAGTCACAGCGGTTCTAGAATCACCGCTTCCGGGACGGAGAGGATGCACGTTTTGAATGACAGCGGCGGGAGCCAGAGAAAGCCATCAAATACGGCTCCTTCAACTCACTTCTTCCCATTGTTCTTCAGAATAAGGTTAGGAAAGGAGCCAAGAACGAAAATGCCCCCCCATCTCCTCCCACCCACTCCAAAGGAAAGGCAGCTGATGCACCCATGATACGATGTTTTTCACTTTTTAAAAAAATATATACTGGTGTCCTGTCATTCTGCAAAGTAATTCACGCTGAGAATGGGAAGACGCGTGAAGAATTCAAGGACAAAGCCACACAGCAAGAGGGCTCTTCTGGACACATCAGTGCACAGAACGCTGCTATTCCAAGGGCCTGCCTGCTATTTTAAGGCACCCCACACGTCAAATAGAATAATCTGTATTGTTACCCACCGCCCGTCGGCAGCAATGTCTTATTTTTGCTCTTGTAAGAAGAAGGGCAACGAATCAAACACCAGGTCATTGTTCTACATTTCCTGTTAGTCCTCTCCTGCCTTTTCTGTTCTTTTTGAATCTGATACGCCTACTGGTATGTAGTCAGCTCGGGGTCCTTCAGAAACAGCCTTCGGTGTCATTGTTTTCTGGAAAACAACTTTGATGGCTGAATTCATTTCTGTGCCGTAAGAATAACCACTTCTCGGGAAGACCATCTCCACTTGGCTGCAGTCCTCGGGTGGCTGTGCTGTTTGTCCTGCTGCTTCTCACAGATGTACTCTCTAAGTCCAAAACTCATTGTAGCCAAGATGCTCGTGGACTTCAAAACCTGTATTTGGTGGTGGCGGTGACAGAATTGCTCTGAGAAAATAATGAGTCTACTGTTGCTGTGAAAAGCTTCCATCCCATGGATGACATGCGCTTAAATTAAATTCTAAGGCCTTAGGCAACATTGTGTAAAGAGGTTCCAGCCCCCGAATGCCCCTGCTGTTCATATGTGTCCCATTATCCTCTGGCTCATGCATTACACACTGTCAGTGTTCCAAACTGCTGAGTTCACCAGGCTTCTGCTCCTACCACTCCAGCCAAAGTGTTCTCACCAGTGACCCAACTGCCAGATCCGAATCCACCAGCCGCCTCCGTCATGCTGTCCTTCTGGAAACAGACTTCTCTGTTGGCTGTTCTGTGCTCCTCTGGCCAGCCCTTCCTAACTTCTCTCATGGGCTTTGCTAGCCCCTAAATGCCAGCGACTCTCAGTTTCATCCTTTGCCCTCTTCTTGCTCCATACACTCTTCCCGGGCGACTTCACCAATGGCCTGACATCAGCTGCCACCTCTGAGCCGAGCCCCAGGCCTGCGTGTTCATTCCCCTGTCCGCTGGCCCTCTCCAGTCACGTGTTCCTTGGGCATCTCACCCTGCCTCTCCAAACATGCCCCTGTCCTCCCTCCCTTCCCTCTGCACTACTACTCAGTTGTCCCAGCCAGAAACGGGAAGTCCCTCTAGATCCCCAACCCTTCCTTACTCAACTGGTCATCTCACTCTCAGTGATTCCTCCTAAAAATCTCACCAGTCTGAACTCTCCAACGGCTACCTTGGTTCAAAACACGTGAAGCCCGGCCTGGAGAGCTTCCCCCATACTGGCCACTTGAAGAATGAGGTTGCTGTTCACATGGGCAAGAAAGTAAGGAGCAGAGGAGCCACAGGACGGGCAGCATGAATAGACAGGATTGACGTGCAACGATAGCAAGAAAAGAATAACCACTAGTGTCACAGATGGGGAGCACAGGTAGAAAAAATAAGAAAACAGCAACCTGAATGGGATACTGAGTAACAGAACATACCCTAGCAATAACCAGAGAAGGGCAGGCACAAGTGTCACCAGAAACAACACAGGACACATGTGACATTACAGTCCCTCTGCCCCACACCCCAGTGGGCTCATATAAGGTGAAAAAATCCCCTGCCCTATAGCAGGGTCCCCAGTGGTCAAAAAAAAGGGGCAGGGCAGAGACATCAAGAATGAGGGAGGTCAGAGGATAGATAAGGAGAAGCCCCCGCAGACCCTAGAGCTGCAGTCTGCAGGCCGTGTGCCCGCTGCAATCCGTCTCTGATAGTTTGGAGTGTACGATCAGAGTGTACTATCAGGGATTAAACTTTTCGCTTCTTTACATAAATTGCCATGTCCCTCACAATCATTCTTTGATCAGGGGAGACAGGAACTGAGGTGTTCACATCAATAGCTGGTGACAGTCTATCACCGGGGCATGTGATATAAGTCTCATGGCAAGAGCTGGTCCCTGTAAGTGTTCTGAGCTGTCTGAAGAGCACTGTTCACCCCTGGAAGGTCCCTGGAATGAGGCTGTCAGGCTCACATGTGGAGGAGACAGTAAATATTGTCTGCCGAATGAGTGATAAAAAATAGCGTCTTTACTTTCTTAGCCAGGGCAGGGGACTTGGGCTGCAGGTTTCTGTCATCGCTTCTAAACCCAAGTGGCAAGTGGTGAGGTGGCAGTGCAGGAATAACTTTGGGGGCAGAGGGACGTGCCTCCAGAGGCTCCTGGTGATCCTATCTCCTGGCCACGTGGCCTTGAACAGGCTGTCACCTCTCTGAACTGGTGTCCCCACTAGAAAGTGGGATCGTGTCTATCTTGTAGGTCATCATTAGAATTAGGGATAATGCCTGCGGGGTGCCTAGACAGTACCCAGTTCAGAGCTAGCCCAGCTGACATGACAGCATTGTTTCTGCAAGGAATGGCTTTGAAAAGGGACACTTGCAGAGCCTGCCAGGTCCTAACACAGTATCACTTCAATGCCTGGCCCAGGCCTTTCCTTCCCACTGACGATTCCCAGTGTTTATGACAGACTGTGCCAATCACCTCCCTTTTATGATTCATGTTTAACTTCGAGGAATACAACTGGCCTTTTGTCATCTGGCTGCTGTGCCCAAACTCAGGTTTCTGATCAGATGTAACTACAATTATAGAAGAAACACTGCCCTTGAAAATGGACAAGAAGGGTCTTGTGTGGGCCTTGCATGTTAGAGCCCGCCCTGGCCGCCTTCAGGCTGTGCTGACCCTATAGATGAGCACCGAGTCCACAGGGAATAGAATCGCTCCCTCCACACCCTGCTACCCTTACAGAGACCCTGGAATTCCCTGCCCCTGCAGTGGGCACCCCTAGGCCCAAGGGTAGCCAAGAGCAATGGTCTATAGGGGTGAGGGGGCAGACAGAATTCAGACCTCCCAGATGGGGTGTCTGGAGAAGTGGGAGGGAATGAGAGGAGGGTAGGACGAAAAGGAAAGAGCTGCTGTCCAGCCCTTCTGAGGACCACCTAGCTAGGAATCTGATGATTAGGAATTCAGACATGGCCTTCTGGTCTCAGGACGGTATACTTGTCAGGGTATACTTGTCTATCAGCCTGATTTGTAGCTCACAAGTGCTGCAACATGCTACACAGGCTGCATTTTGCGCCCTGCCCTGGCCAAGCAACTATCAGGGTCAGGCCTGGATGGCCCAGGGCCCACCAGCTTTTCCTACTCCATCGTCCAGTTTCAGGTCTGTGCACTGACATGTTTTTAAGAGTTTTAGGCTAGTTGCCATCTGAGCTCAGGACGCTGTGTCCTTCATCCAATTTACCCACTGCCCCAGGCCAGCACTTCTGGCTGAGTGCCAAAGAGTGGCCCTGGATCCGGGTCAGGGTTCTAAGGGGGCACAGCCCTCCTCTGAAAGGCCTTCTTGGAGGGCCAGGGCGACATGGACCACACCAGCCCCAGGTCCAGTAAAACTCAGTTGCCCTGAGGGTCTGGGGTGGGGGAGTGCTGGAGAGTTCAGGTCCACTTCCAGAACTCTCGTGTGTGTCCTGCCAACGTCCTAACCTGGGCTGCGGGGATTTCTTCCCCTGGGAGCCTGAGCGGCAGGTCCGACGGGGACCTGACCACAGCCCGGCCCACCGACAGGAGCCCCGCCCGGCCCGCGGGCTGACCTGATGCCGTCCCGCTGCCGCGCACAGGTGAGCTGCACCTCGGACTCGGGTCCCCCGGCCCCGGCCGGCACCCGGCTGCAGAAGCGGGCGGGCAGCCGGGCGCCCGGGCCTCGAGGGAACCAGCAGGTGCCCTTCGCCCCAAAGGCCCGCAAAGCCGCCATAACAGCCGGAGAAAGAGGGGCCAGTAGCCACCAGATCACCACTCCTGGCAGGCCGCAGGTGCTGCTCTCGGGGGCGAGGCTGAAGGCTGAGCTGGGAGCGAAAGTCAGACGTAACTTCCGCCCCGCCCCCTGGACGCCCCGCCCCTGGACGCCCCGCCCCCTGGACGCCCCGCCCCCTCCTCCTCCCCGGCGCTTTCTTTTTGCAACAACCTGGAACGCGTGGTTTGTGTGGAGGTGAGTGGCCTGAGCTGTCACTCCTCCGGAATTGTTCTGCCGCCGCCTCGGGAATTGCCCGGGGCCTGGGGTGACTGGGAGGGGTCACAGCGGAGGTGCAGCCCACCCAGCCCTTCAATGCTGGTGTCCTCTCTTCAAGGCCCCTATTCTGTTCTATTCTATTCATTTCCTTGAGGCAGAGTCTCACCCTGTCATCAGGGGTAGAGTTCCCAGCATAGCTCACAGCAACCTCTAATTCCTGGGCTCAAGTGATCCTCCTGCCTCCAAGTAGCTGGGATCACGGTGTGGGACCTAACACCCGGCTAATTTTTCTATTTTTGGTAGAAACGGGGTCTCGCTCTTGCTCAGGCTGGTCTTGAATTCCGGAGCTCAAATGATCCTCTCCCCTCGGCCTCCCAGTGTGCTAGGATTATAGGAGGGAGCCCTCACCCCTGGCAAGACCCACATTTTGGATTAGGTTTCTACCACGAGGTAGAATGCAGATTTGAAATGGAAAGTAAGTTCATAACTAAAATAAAGTCAAATTACTGAAGCACCCGAGTCTATGCGCTGGTATTCGTCATCTGCCCTCTTAGTCATGCCAAGTGCCACAGGTGATGCGGGGTCAAAAAGCCAGATCAAAATGACCACTTCATGGGCCAAAGTCCACCTGCGGAAGACATGTGTCACCTTACTAAGATCCGCTTCGCTTGCAGGATGAGGGAGGTTTGGTTCGAAGGAGGTGAGGCCACTTGCTCCGCCCAGCATGAGACTTGGTGTGAGGTGTGTGTACAGGGCTTCAAGAAAAGGCAAGAGCTTGGAGCCTGGAAGTCACAGATGAGAATGTAAAGTTTCAGAGACGACAATTTCCACCTGCTTCTCAGTTTTATTGAATAATAATAAAACAGTCGCTCTCTGTAGAACCCCCCAACCCCATGCTAGTGCCTGTACTGATGCGGTCCATCTCTTTTAACTCCAGGACAACCTGGTATCGTGACCCGGTTCAGTGACCGGCCTTGCTGGTGCTATGTGCGGTGGTCAGAGCCTTGATGAGGCTGCAGGAGGATGCTGGATGCTGCTGTGGATGGAGGGCTTGGTCCTCATCTGAATTCCGCTGCCTTCTCTCCCATTCCTTTCATGTCCTGGTCCCTCCCCTGATTTCTTTCAGAGCTTGTAGCCTGGGTGGAGGGAAGTGGAGGTGGACAGGGCGGCATTATCCGAGCCAGAGTCGACATGCCTTGCTGAACCGCTGCTCCTTCCTTAAGCAGCTCAAACTATTTTCAAATTCAGGCGGCCTCCCCTGGCCTCCTCTGGCTCTCATTAATTTCTGTAGGGCTGCTTGCTTTTCTTCTCTCTTGTTCGGTGCCCTTCTAATCTGTTTTCCACGCGGGCCTTCTCCCTGACACAATTTGATTTCCAGGTTGCTAGCAGGCGTCTCTCTGGCTTTGATTTACGTGCTCCTTCCCTGTGCCACATGTCTTTGCCGCACAGATGTGTCTTCGCTACCTTCTCGCATTTCCTTTAAAGACCCACAGATGCTTGGCAGAACGCTGCAGAAATAATGCAGAATAAAAAGACGGTTCCAGGGAGGCTGGTGTCTCAGGCTTGATGTAGGAATGGAGGAAGATTTAGACCTCCTCGGGGTACAGAGAGAGGGAAGCAGAGTGCAGATCTTCAGCATCTTATGGTTTTTAAACTTTCTTTTTAAAAAAAAATTGATTTCAGGCCCTTCTAAGACAGCCAGGTAATGACACAGTGCCAAGGGGCAATGGTGAAGATGGAGGGGCTTATTTTCTGTGGAGATGTGTGTAAATGATTCTCAAGTTCCAGCTTCCCACCCTCATCTCCCTCCCCATGTCTGCCCCCTCTCCATAAAGTGATAGCAGAGTCAAACACCCATGCAGCAGAAGGGTTTCAGACTTGTTGTTGCTACAGCCGCAGGTCCTTTTTAGTAAGCTACTTTTCTGATTTAATATTTTATTTATGATCCACCAGCCATTATCTACATGCCTTTTGCAAGCTTAATTTTTTCCACAAGGACTCAGGCCTCAAGTTAGGTGAAAATTAATTTAGAAACCAAATGGGGGTGGGAGTGAAACTAACATTCTTTTGCCCCTGCTTAACACAGAGCTTGAGTTTGGCCAGGTGTCCCAAACAAAACAAGAGCAGTCCCTTCAGGTCAGGGAGGTGGACGTGTAGCAGGACGTGATGGAGAGGCCTGTGTTGGGTTCCACAGCGCCGCAGTTGCAGGTAACATTTTCAATGAGCTTGAATAGTTAAAGGATCCTAATGGTGACCATGATAGAGACCCTCTGGAGGGGAGGAAATCATTTGTCAGAGGAACGTTGAATGCTGGATTTATTAAACGAAGTTAAAGGAGGACAGCCCCGGGGAGGCCAGAGGCAGGTCACCAATAGCATTCACAGGCCCTTGATGGGGAAGGGACTGGAGACCAATGATTAAACCAAGTCCCAAAGCCAAGCAGGGGCCCATAACCACTCATTTCTATCCTCGGCACCTCCTGCATCTGCATCTTAGCGAAATCTTACAATAATTATAATCCTGCCACACAAAGAGGTTTAATCGTGTTTCTATAATTCAAGAAGAGAGGGTAGGCTGTCGGCCTTCTGACATCGATCAGGTTAACATGCAGCTAAATAGACTATTCCATTGTACAGTGATATTTGGCTGACTATTCCAGAGAGCCTTGGCAGGAGGGCTGAGGTAGTGGTGGGGAGAAAGGAGGGGCCTGCTAACTGGAAGCAGAGGGACAGCTTCTTCCTACCAAGTCAGTGGGAGAAAGAGAAGGGGCAGGCTCAGCTCTGGGGAGTCAGTTTCTAGATTATTAGGTTGGCTGTAGCACATTACCTCTGAGCCTGTCTCCTTATCTGTCAAATGGGGGCAAATAATACTTTCATCCATTCAGAAAATACTTGAGTTTGTCACATGACAGGTGGAATGGGCGGGGTCTGCTGATAGTGTTATACCCAAAGCGAGTGGAGAAAGGCCAGCACACTGTGTCCAAATCAAGCAGGGGTCCTTTATTGGCTGGCAGTCAACAGTGGGCTCACACCACAAAGTCTCTCGTCCCCCAGAAGCAGGGACACAAACTTTATATAAGGTGCTTTTGGTAGGGGAGGGGGATTCCTTAACACAAGCCGAGTATCATAAAAGCCAGCAAGGTCAGATCTGTGGGGAGTGCTTACAAGGGAAAAGCTGTGGTTTCACAGGAATCTGCAGTTTTTGCTAAACTCTGCAGCTTTCGCCTGGGCTTAACGGGGGAGTGTTGAAAGCCCTTGGCAAAGTCCTTAGCAGAATGAAGTCTGGCTTTATGTACAAAATGGAGTTAGGGCATTACACTAGTTCAGAGTGGGAGAGAAGCCAAGGATGACTCTAAGGAGTTTAGCCTGAGCACCTGGTTTTTAGGCCAAAGGTTGTGATTCTGATACCATATGAAAAGGGGCATAGAAGCCAGCTGATGAGCCAGGTCTCAGGGCTTGGCTTCACCACCTAATTGCTGTGTGACCTTGAACATTTTACTTAACCTCTCTGTTACTTTGGCTGTAAAAGAGTGGTAATAACACTACCTACCTTAAGGGGGAGTTAATAAGCCTAAGGGGCTGAGAAGGGGGCCTGAGCAGGGCAGCAGGAGAGAAATGTTTGCCGTTATGTGAAAAGATACACACGGGCCTCCTGATGTGCCCGTGTAGTATGAGGGAGCGTTCTGCAGCAGAGAGACTCAGCACACAGTTAGCTGCTGTGGTCATGGTGAAATTTAAGGTAGCATTATTAGATTACATAACAGAAGATAATTTAACACGATGCCTAGTAGGTGGATGCATTTCAGGTGCTTTGTTAGTGCTTTCCTGTTTCCCTCTGAGAGCTGCCTAGGGCTCTGGGTGTTTTGTTTGCCTTTCCTCTCCTCAATCTCCCCCCACCTCAGGCAGGATAGTCTCAGTCCTCTCATGTCCCCCCTCCCCCAGGAGAATTTTCTCTTCCACCCCCCCTCCTAAAACTCAGCTAAGTCAGGAGTCAGAGTATTGCAGTCCCTGCAGGATGAGCTCTCCTCCCTCCCTGCGTCTCTCACCCACCTGGCAGATCCCCGAAGTTGAGAGCGTCCAGCCCAACTCCATCCTCTGCTTTCTCTCCACCATGCTTCTTCCTTTGATTGAGCCAGTGGCCCTCTGCTTGTGACAGCCACGCAGGATCCCAGCTTTCCCGTCCCCTGGGTGCCCTCTGACCCCTGCATTTTCCCTCAGGGCCCCCCACCCTGGGAGTTGGGTGAGGTGTTTCTGCACTGCACACTGTCCCTCCTGCCCTCTCCAGCCTGAGTCCCGTTCCTGCCCGCCACCCAGACAGCTGCGGCCTCCTCCTGATTTGTCTCCAGCCTCTCCCCTCTAAGTCCCCATCTCAGTGAATTAGACTTCCGGGGGGCATTTCTCCCCACTCTGTCGACGCCTGTCCGGTGACAGCCGCGATTGACAAATTGCATTGCATATATTCAAAGTGTACAATGTGATTTTTTTTTTTTTTTGAGACAGAGTCTCACTCTGTCACCCTTGGTAGAGTGCTGTGGCATCATAGCTCACAGCAGCCTCAAATTCCTGGGCTCAAGTGATCCTCTTGCCTTAGCCTCCCCAGTAGCTGGGACTACAGGGATCCACCACAACACCCAGCTATTTTTAAGAGATGGGGTCTTGCTCTTGCTCAGGCTGGTCTCAAACTCCTGAGCTCAAGCAATCCACCTGCCTTGGTCTCCCAGAGTGCTAGGATTACAGGCGTGAGTCACCAAGCCCAGCGATATTTTGATATATGTATATACAGTTATATCACCACACAGCATTGCCATGTTTTATGTTGTTAAGAGAACACGTAA